ATATATATATATATATCCTGTATACCTGTCCTTAGGTCATACTTCTTTTTTGGTATTGCTCAACAACATACGTTATGCCTTAGCAACAAAACTGTCACCTAATGTTGTTAAGGAAGCAATGGTGCTTATGTTGATTGTTTAATATATAAACATTTTTAATATAGACATAATATGGAGAATAAACTGGAAACAAAAAAACAATTTATAATACTTAATATGATTTTCGTAAATTCATATAAAAGTCATGAATTTTGACATGATAATACTGTTTTCTGGTGATTACTATCTAATATATATAAAAGCCAATGTTATTTTGTGTGTATCTAATGCTCACATTAGATAATTTTTTAAGTTGCACCATTCTTAATGATTTTTGAGAGTGTACTTGAAAATGTTTATTTTCTCAAAGTGAGATGGTTTGTCTTTTATGATGAAGGGGAACTTTGAACAAAGCTCACTGAAGGAAGTGTGGGGGTTCCCAGGGTTTTTTTACCTGTCATTTTTTGATGGGTGCATCATTTAGTATTTATATATTGGATAGTCTCATAAATTAGTATTCTTACTCTACTGGTGTTATGTAATATTAAGCTTTGTGGGATAGTAAATTTGTAACAAAGTTGTTAATTATCTGCATACCATTTTGTGATAATGGTTTTCATTGCCTAACTAAGATAAGAGCAAAGTTAGATTGGTTTCAGACTTGGTATTGACATTGGAGGCAAATAAAAGTATTGTTCAATTATTACATCTTTCAATTTGAGGTAATGGAAAATCCTTAAATGGGGTTGTGGAATCTCACTTGATAGGAAATGTGCAAATCCTGATCAAAGCAAAATGACAGTAATGTTGAACATTCTTCAGTTTTCATCTTATTGTTTTAAGTTTAATAAATATTGTATTATTAAAGCTAACTGAAAGTAGTGTAGGACATTTTTCAGTTTCCATGGTATTATTTTATACTGAATAAATTTATTATGATTGAAGTTAGCTGTGTAGTACCAGAAAATACTATATCTTTTCCAATTCTTTAGTTAAAAAATTAAATTTTCAAAACTATGCTTTTCATAATTCCTTTGTTGGAATGTAGTGGTGTTCGTGTAAATTTCCAACTTTCTTTTTCCTTAAGAGGCAAACTAGGTTAAATGAAGATTAAAAAGGTTGTTTGCCTGGTTCTCTTACAGGAATAGCAACATTGTTTTTAATCATTGAGCTGGATTACTTTGTTGGCAAATCAAATAATAGTTGTGAGTGAACTCACCCTTGATCTTCACTGCTTGTTAGCCAGTTGAAATGAGATGTAATGGAGACCAAGCACTATCTTCTTGTGTCAGAAACTTGGAAGTTTATTGAGATATTCAAAATAATCTTGGAACTTGGGAGAGCAGGTTTTACACCAGAATGTCAGAGATATGTTACAGGTTTAACATGTGTTTTAATTAGACTTACAGAGCTTTACATAGGTGTTTTTATTACATTAACTTGTTCAGAAGAAGCCAGTATTTTTCTTTTGTTTAACATAACAAGAACTCTTTATAAAGATTGCCCATTAGAATTGTTTCTGCAGGCTTAAATCTGGCATTCACCTTCTATGATTGAAGTTCATCTTTCACTTTGTCTAAGGCAAGAGTCATAATGTTCTAGCCAGAGATTCAGAGTTGTTTACATTTGCTGTACAAGAATGAGCTTTATAGTTTTGGAGTTAGGTTAATTTTAAGTTGTGAAGTATTGTTAGTAATTTTTAAGTCGTCTTATTTGTGAAATTCAAGTAAGAAATTGGATTTCATAATGCTAGTGTACTTACATGATTAAAGTGAAAGTATTTTTACTTAATCTGGGGTTATTTTTAACTCAGTCCAACTTACAATGAAGAATATACACAACAGTAAGAGTATTTTTCTGTTCAAGTTTTTCTTAGCTCTTGCTGGTCCTAAACTTTCTATATTAAGTGTCAAAGTGCACATGATCTCTTGCATGTTGTATTATATTAGTGGAATATTGCTTATTTGCATTTTTAACTCTCTCTACACAGTCTCGTTCAAATTGACCAACCATGTGACCACTTTGTACTTGTTTAAAATTGTTATAGTTTTGATGCTACTAACTTTTAATTTAGTATGTGTATCTTCACAAAATTTTGCAGACTTTTAGTAAACATTACGAGTCTTATCACTTAAACCTCCCAGTGGCACAGCGGTATGTCTGCGGACTTACAATGCTAGAAACCGGGTTTCGATACCCGTGGTGGGCAGAGCACAGATAGCCCATTGTGTAGCTTTGTGCTTAATTTCAAACAAACAAACTTATCACTTACAAAAAAATAAGTTTTTTTTTTGGTGAAGTATCTTTAATAAACTAAAAAAGATTTGTCCATGAATATATTGAGTCTTTTTTTTGTTAGTCTGATTGCCATGTGATTTTCATGTTAAGATTAAAAATACTTTTCTTCATTTCAAAAATCTCAAATCTCATTTGTGTAATCTCTAAAACCTCCTAAATACATTTCAGTGTTTGTTTTCAGTAAAACTTTATATTTTATCTGTTATTTTCCCTACCCTAACTCTATACAAGGTTGGTCAATTTGACTGACCTCGTAACCACCAAAAAATGAATCTAAATTACCATTTTTTCTTTCTAGAATGACTTCAAATTGTAACATGAAACTACAATTGTTTATCCTAAGTAGCTCTAAACTCGTAACAGCATGTTGGGGTTAATGTAATGAAACAAACTGAAAGTGGACTTCTTTCTGTACTTTTAAAAATTTTATCTATTTCTTTTAGTATAAATCTTTATTGGAATTATTTCTCACTTTTGTACTTGTTAAATACTGTGAATTAGTCAAACCAAACCATATTTTTAAAAAATTGAGTCACTATTTTTCTATTCAAGTTTTTATTAGCTCTTGCTTTTGTGTTGTTATCAGTCTTTACAAAAGATATGTTCTTAGGTAAAGGAAAGTGTATACCAAATTGTCATTATATGAGAAAAAGATTTATATGGGTAAAAAAAAAATTCATGACTCAGTTATTGCCATATTGTATAAAAGATATGTACTTGAATTAAAATTTCTAAAAATGTAAACCAAAAACTGTTAGGTTTGATTAAGGAGCTCTATATGAAGTAAATAATCAAACAGTATTACCAGAATAGGTCGATAAGAAGCGAAACTTCAGCAAACACGATCTTAATCATGTCATCAAACAATTTTGTAATTTAAATAACTTTGTATCTTATGTAAGAAATCATACTATAGTTTCCAGGGTAAATCATAGGATGCTAGCTGTGTAGGACATTATAAGACACTTGTTTCTTTTGGGTGTGATAAGATGCTATAATGTTTAGTATGTGAAACAATGTTGTACTGTCTTCAGGTTGTGACAAGACACTATAAAGCATTACTAGATACTATCATTTCATTTTGTGATTTAGGCCATCACTACATATAACACTAGTTTTTGTAAGATAATGCAAAACCTTGATTCTTACAGTATGTTACAAGATACTGTAAGGAATTATAAAAGCAGTTTTTTAAAGATCATCATTAAAAGAATACATGTGAACTAGGATGAAATTATGTGGCTTTAAGATCTTTGAGCTATTCATTTTATGAACAAACTTTCAATATCTGTCGTTCTTTCTCTGTTCACAGATTGGTCAACAAACCTTTGAATTAAATACGTTGAAAGAACGCTTGGATCAGCTTGACCGACAACAAAAACAACATTTGGAGGAATTAACTACTTTAACCTCTGACATCCAAAGTCAAAAAGGAAATGTGGCCACATTATCAGAAGAGGATGACATTAGTGAATCAGACCCAGGAGACTTATGACAAATACTTTTTGTTTCAAAGAATTGCAATAATGGATATATGATGTGTTATGTAACAATTAAGTGGATAATGTTAAGGAATATTCCTGATCAAAACTTGTGGTTTCACATGATGTGCTGGTTGTTAGCTAAGAAAGAACTATATTAATGAGGTTTGTATGATAAATATTTATGTAGATTTACTTGTTTTGTATCCTCCATTTTAGGTACATGCATGTACTTGACAATGACCAGAACACATAGATGTTACTGTGTGACTGAACAGTTAGATGCTATTATCATTTTTGTCAGTCATCATATTTATAAAGTTTTACCTGACATAGACTAATGTTATGTATTTGTAACACTGCCATTTCCATAATGAACATTAGTGTTAAGCAAAGAGTTGTAGTTTCTGCTTTAAGTTGTAATTAGGTGAAAAAAGTTTGTAATATTTTTTGTGTAAGGAAAATATTAAATTTGTCAAGCACAATAAGCAAACTTTGCTGGGCTGAGTATACTTTATTTCAGTTGTATGAACCCTTTCAGTGAAAACTTGTAATTCATCATATTAACAAGTATAAAAACATTAATATTGTTGAGGAGTAAATTTCTAGGCTGTTGTATTTGTTTAGAATACCATAATCTTTCAGACTAAGACTAACAAATTTTCTGTACCATTGTTACTATGCATCATTTAATAACACCAGAACAACAAAAATAAGTAGTTTTGTCTCTATGCTACTTATATGGTGCTTGATAACAACAGAATTTGAAGATCTATAGTATATTTAAAATTTGTTACTATGCAGTATTTATTAATAGTATCAAAGAAATTGTAAATTACAATTACTTCACCATCGTAATTGTTAAAAATATTACCAGGTTAAACTAGGCTGTATATACAGTGTTTCTTTCATTAACCCATTAACTGTGGATCACGGACATTTCTGTCATTGAAGTTCTATGGCTCAGCTGCGAATGACAGAAATATAAGTCAGTCGCAGATATGTAACTATAACGATAATTACCATTTTATTGTGACTGATGGCAACTCGGTTTTATCTGAATCAGAAAACGGAAACTGAGCTTCTCCTGCAGCAGTTAAGGAACAACAACTATGTATTATTTCAGTACTTAACGTGAAAGCTACGAAATCCACAAGGAATTATGAATTTTGTAGTAAGGTTGGAATGTATGTGTCTGAGCATCAAGTGAAATAAAAACAGTAAATTGTTCTGTTGATCCACGGTTCTACCTGTAACTCCATCTGAATCTGCTAAAACCAGTGCTAAAAGGAGGCTCTTGTACCATGAAGGAAGATGATTTCACTAAAAATATATACTTCAAGATCCATGCAGAATTATGCATAATGAGTTAAAAGACAATTTGTAACAGAATAATAATAATCGTTTATATTTTTTAATACAAAAACTATTTTATGTTCCCTAGGCTCCTAAACAAATTTTAACTTGCAGTTTTTTGTTTCTATTTTATAAAAGTATAGCTTATTTTCAAACAATTCAACATTTCTTTAGTTCATCTCTGTACACAGTTTTGGAGGAGTGGCTTCTTGTGATCCTGTCTCTATTAAAAATCTATAGCTTGATAAAGAACTTCTTCACAAGGTTCTTTACCATATTTTCCAAGTAACTAGTTTGTGTTTTGGAATTGGAGTAGGGCTTGAAAAAAGTTATGCTATGTCATTAAAATTACACTGGAAACCATAATAATAGGTCTCATGTTGTGATAATCAGGTGGGCTCATTGTACACCTTCAGTCTAACACGACACTGCCATTTCTTACATAACTCACGTAAAGTTCTCAACATTTGGAAAAGATATAGAAGTTTCAACAACAGATGTCTTTTACCGACACATTATTTCATATTAAAATACAATATGATCCATGTTTATTTTAAAACCTGTCTAATTTCAGAACAATGTGTTGAGGTTTAAGTTTCTACTTATTGTACAGCTGGGTGATTAGTGGAATTTACTGGTCGATTAATCAACAATGGCATTCAACTAATAGATTATTCTCACATAAGACTTGTATAGTTGGAAAAATTAAAAACAGTAATAATTGGAAATATTCGATTTGTTTAGTTATTTTTATGAATTATAACAATTATTCATCAAGTTGATGAAATGCGAGTTAGTCAAATAATGAGAAATCATAATGGCAATATTTCTATTACGTGGACAGTTCAAGTAATTGAAAAACTAATAATAAGGAACACTAATTTGATTATTTTATCTGATACTAATCACTCTAAAGGAGTTAACTGCCTAATTAAAATGAAAGTAGTAATTATACTTCATTCAGTAATTAGACTAAAAGCCTCTTTAACTGTAATTACCTCTGTAAACCACTAATAGCTCAGCAATTGGAGTAAAATTATTTCATGTACAAGTATCTTTGTAAACCAGAACTTATTCAACAAACATAATAAAACTCAACTACAAGTAACTCTGTAAACCACAAATCACTCGGCAATCAGAATAAAATTCAACTACAAGTAACTATGTAAACCATAAATCACTCAGCAATCGGGGTGAAACTCTCAACTGAAAATACTTTTATAAACCCCACATCATTCTAAATAACTAAAAGCAATTTCTTGTTCTATAAAACTTATCGGATACATAGAATATCTATGGTTTACAACGTTTCACCAGCTCTCATTAGGTGTAACAACTACAATGAATGAACTATTAATATAGATAGCACGAAAAACTAGCTGATGCATGCGATCGTATTTGAATGGTTGAACTTAACAAGACCCACAGAACATTAAAAAAAGAGAGATAGTCAAAGATTTAATGCTATTTTTTTACACGTGAAGATCTTGATTATGAAATAAGGCCAAAGTGATACATAAAATTTATATCAAAAGAAACGAGGGAATCTTCAATAGCTGCAACACTTGAAATTATTTTAGACAGGATTAGAGTAAATTAATCTATGATACTCTCCCCCTTTATTAACTATATTTTTGTGCTCCAGCAATATCAAGCGTAGTGGGGGGTGCGTATACCCGATTAGATTTTATTGCTCATCAGGGTCTCTACCAGCATACTCTCAAATTGAAATTCTTTTAAACAGGTCTAGAGTAAATTAATCTATGATACATTGGGCTTGGTCAAATACATCAATCGAAAGGGTTTGACATCTTGAGGCAATAAACTGTAATTAGATATCAAATCGGTCAAGAGATGGCACAGCTATGAGCTAAAATTTTGTGCTTGAAACAAACATTTTGAGCCATTCTATGGCCACGGCTAAAACCCGTAGAAGTTTCGTTAATCAAAAGGTTTCTAAACTTCAAATACCATTGTAGGTCAATGTCAGTTCTTCTCACCTGGGTTTCCGCGGAAACTTCGGGTTCCTCAACAGATATCCAAGGGGTTCAAATAAATGCGAGAATTCCATATTCTAATGCTTAAATACATACTAGTCACATAAATGTAATCCTACTACTTTATTCGTATAGCTGGTTTCATAATGACACAACATTAGTTGATTCACTGTTTTAAATTAGTGAGCAAGACTAGGTACAAACAGCTCTAGTATTGCAGTAATGTTTTTTTGTAATGAATGCTGTGAAGGGTTCCGCATATCCGAAAAGGTGGGGAACCACTGGTCAATTTAATTAAGCTGAACATCTCTGACGTTATACGCACCTAGTGGCAAAGCGGAGAGTCTGAAAGCTTATAACATAAAACCGGGTTTCGATAAGTGTGGCGCGTTACAGAACAAATAGCCCGTCATATAGCTTTGTGCTTAACTACAAATAAACAATCTGACGTTATATGCTGCTAAGGGACTTGGAACTGCAGTTATAAAATAAACAGTGTATGCGTATCATAGCCTATGAAAAGATAGAAGATTACTGTTTCTTGGCAGCTGAAACTCTATGATTGTAAGATGCTTACTTGCTCTTTGTTAAAAAAGAATCAACTGATCGTATAGATATTAGAACTTAGCTCAAAGTCAAGATTAGTTTATTCATTATTTACATGATTTTGATCAAACCCTAAGCCTTTATCCATATAGAAATAAAACTGAAGTAGTTTGGATCATATTAGAACTCAAATTATCTGTATTGTTTTGAAAAGCATAGATTCGTATAATTCTAGTTAGAAGAATTCTAATTTCATGTAATAAGATCGGAAAACACTTATCGTAAGACTAAAATTAATTTTGTTATCACACATCCTGAATAAAAGATCATTTCACAAAAGTCAATGCTAACGGTAAATCTAGTGCAGTAAGAGAACAATTTAACCACGAATTTTCTATAGAATCCTCAAAATAAAATAACCTTAATTCTCCAGTTTGACCAATTTCGGGCCTGTTCAACAATAAATTAGCACAATACGTCAATGGTATTTTAATATATTATATATAAATACTGAATTTACAGAAATAGTTAGTAAGAAGAATATATTGAGAATTTGGAGTTTAATGTAGAAATATCTTGTGCTAGTTTTCTGTCATCTAGAAGGCTATTTGTCTGTCGTTTAATAGACTATGTGTTAGCCAGTTTCGAGGTTACATTTCTGTCCTCTTATCAGGTTGTTTGTTTAACAAGCCAGCTTGCAGACTGTCGTTTTAAAGATTAAGTATAAGCCAGTTTTGAAAATTCCAAATTGGTTTGAAAGTAATTGTAATATTGAAATACTACGTAGTTTGTTCTTCTACAGTGTTTAATTCGCCAGTATAAAATTTTAAAAATTGTGAGTTTTAATACTGAAACCTACTACATCTGGGGCGTCAGATTCAACCCGAAATATTACGTTTTATAGTCGTTCCAGTCAAGTTACTGCTCCACCCTTTCATGGAGTAATTGTGTTGTGTTCTACTTTACCTCCTGTGCAGAGGACTATGGGGCGAGTGTCGCATGGAAATGGTGTAATATGTTCTGAAGTGCACTGATAACTTAAAGAAGAATCAATGGGTGAAGAACATGAGGAAATATATCAAGGAGGTGACAATGAGTTCTGGCTTAATGTACTGTAAAAGTAAACTAATTACAATTTAAATCAGAGCGAAGGCAATGTGTTCACTTACCCCACAGTCGAGAAAAAAATGCACGATAATATTCTAATAAAATCTACCAAGATTGAAAGAGAGAGAGCTAGCCTCAAAATCTACAAACACAAAAGCAGCATCTTTCCTAGAGCACATGCACAACCACGTTTTTGTTGGTCATTCTAATAGAATAAAAATAAAATATAAGGTAGGTTATATATTTCAGGTATCAACTTACCTGGCAGTTAAAACGATTGATCTCTTCTTTGATATATTTTTTACATCATAAAGTAAACGTTTTGACACAAGAAGCACTCGTGATTCGTTATTCCAACTGAAAAGTAATGGAGGATGTATCTTCAAGGTCTGATTGTTTTAAGTTATGCACAAAGCTACACAATGGGCTATCTGTGCTCTGCCAACCACAGGTATCG